TCCCTTCTCCCCCCCCTCTTTTTGGGCCTTTCCCTTCCGCGCCCCCCCCCTTTTCGCGCCTTCCTTCTTTCACCTCAGTGGGAAAGGCGGTGTGGGGGGGGACCCCTCGCGTCCTCTCCTCTCCCGCCCTCCGCCCTTCTTTCGCCCTCACCTGGAGATGCTCCTGGAAGCGGATGGGCAGGATCTGAGCCATGGCGGCCGACGCGTTGTTGGGGTTGGGGGGCTCCAGCCCGGCGCCGGGGGTGAGGGAGCTCTGGTCTCGCCTCAGGAAAAAAAGAAGAGAAAAAGGGAAGGCGGCCCTTAATGGCGGGGAAGGCGAAGCGAACGGTCGGAGCGAGCGGGAGGCGCGGAAGGGAAGCGGCCCCGGCGAGCGATCCGGAAACAGCCGCCTCTCTCTCTCTCGCTCGGCGGAAGGACACCTCACTCGTCCGCTCGCTCGCTCGCCTCCCTCAGGAGAACCGGCCGGAACGCCTTCCTCCTCCGCCGCTTCACCTGCGGCTTATTAGCGCAGCGGCGGAAGGATCGCGTTCCCCTTTCTCCGCCCACGTAGGGGAATCAATGAGGGGAGGCGCGCGCGCGCCCGGCGGAAGGGTACGCCGAAACCGGAAGGAACTTTTTTACCTCCTCGGGTGAAGCCCCGCCTCCACCCGAGCTCAAGTCTCTCTCTCTCTTCGCCCGTCTTTTTTTTTTTGCCACATCATGCGACCTGGGTGGGAGGTGACATCACTTCCGTTCCTGGAGCGGGGCTTTCGCTCGTTCGCCCCGCCCCCGGCTAGCTGCGTTTCCTTTGGTCACGTGGTGAGAGGAGAGGCCGTTTCCAAGCAGCGCAAGGCGGACGTTCTAGGCGGAGGCCGTTCACCTTGCTCGCCTCCCCTCCCTGGCAATTCAAAGTAGTCCGTCCGCTAGGCGGGGCGCGGGACGACCCGCTCGGAAAGCGGCATCGAGGCGCATGCGCTCAACGGCTAGCGGCTTCTGTTCCCAAGGTTCGATTCCCGCCCTAACCAACACACAGCCAGCCGTGACCTTGAAAGAAGTAACTTTTCTACAGGTGGAATTCTAAGAATTGGCTGGAATAAAAATTAAATTTGACTTTTTTTTCATGGTGGCTCCCTCATTAAGCCTAGTCCACAGAGGCTGCAGTCCTAACAACACAGTATTTATTTATTTATTTATTTATTTTACTTTTCTACAGGTGGAATTCTAAGAATTGGCTGGAATAAAAATTAAATTTGACTTTTTTTTTTCATGGTGGCTCCCTCATTAAGCCTAGTCCACAGAGGCTGCAGTCCTAACAACACAGTAATGACCATCAATGTTATGTTCTGGTTTTATTTGACATATGACCCCACCTGTGTATACAGTAAAGCAATAGCATGTCTAAAGAATCAAGATTTCATAAAATACAATTTGAATACACACAGTTTACTCAGAGGGCTCTCCAGTTCTTGTGTCTCATATTCAAAGGTATACTGCTCCTGAAGGTGGATGCTCCATCCATGACACAGCTTGATTAACAAGAAGGTTCTGCAGCCAGATCTCACAGGGTGGAGCAGGTTCCTGTCCCGGGTTCCAGCTAGTCATGTTTTTCTCTCAGAAGACATAACAGATATTTCTGTTCTTTTAAATCAAACAGCAACTGCCAATTAGTACATCTGAACCTCACTAAGGTATTGTCAGCACCTGACAAATAAATACCGGGTGGAAATGGGCTTTGCCTGGTGCAGAATACATTACCCAGCTGGCATATTCTAGGGCACATTTTTGGTCACCGCTAAGAATCTGTTCTTACAGTAAAAAGTATACAGAAGCTCTTTCACGGAGGGTTTGGCAAATCACTGGCCAAAACTGCTTATCCCAGTATTTTTTTCCTCTTTTACATCCTGCCGAGAGCAGCACTGATTTGTTTTTAATGCAATATTAATATAGCACTATCAATATTCATGCCTTGCGGAGAAGAAAAATAAAACAGCATACCTCTGCCCCACAGAGATGACAGGGTAAATTTAGATGTTGGGAGCAGGGCAGAGGAAACCACAGGAGAAGAGGCCGAACCTGTCGTTGGTTTATATGTAAAATATACATAATGAGTGGAATCCTATCTGCATTTGTGCAGGGTTGGTGTACCTCGTTGCACTTGATTGTCACTAATTGATGAGGTCCCAAGGCACATTTTGGTTGTGTAACTGGATGCACGAGCCCCTCAGCAATGAGCTGCAATTAGCCACGGCGAGGTACACCAAATTGAATGTCGACAGCGGTAGAATTTTAGCCAAAAGCATCAAAACATTTTTAATTTTTAAAAAAACAGGAGTCCCATTGAATCCTTTCAAGAAATTCTCCCTAGTAAGTTTCCATTTCAAACAAGAGTTCACGTTCCTTTTCCTCAACCTCTTCCCTTTGCGTTCGGTTTGTGAGGTTGCAAGCCTACGAGCAGCTCAGAGGTTTTGGTCTCTGGCTGTGGAGCCAGAGGTTGGGGGTTCGAATCCTCCCTCTGCAGTTCTACGAAACTTGTCTTTTCATTTCTCTGAAGGTCTCAGCAAATCATACACTAGATCAGAATGGCAGCTTCTTAACAGTGGCAGTAGCAAGAGTGAAACCTGAAGCTATGTTTCCAGGAGCGGCCCAAGACATTCTGATGCCTGAGGCTCAAAAGAAATGCAAAACCCCAAGGCGATCAAGGAATGGCTACTGAAAGGTCCAGGATGTGCCGTAGGTGGGTGGAGAAGCTGCCCTTCTTAAAAAACAAAAAAACAAAATTAGGACTGTCATTGTCTTCAAAGGTATTACTCCAAAGCAGTCTGAGAGATAGCCACCTCTTTACGTAACAGTTTCACGATAGCCTTATCTACGCTAATCCCAGGAGACGGACAATGTAAAAATAGAGGCCGGCGGATAAAAATAGCTGACTTGGCCGGGTGGGGGCAGAGAGGTGGAGGGGGAAATCTTTTGAACGACAGAGGAAAAAAACAAGCTTGGTTCTCCATGAATTCTGGCCAGGTAGATTTTAGTCACCGCCAGCCGTTTAGGTAAAAATAAAATCGACACTTCAAGAAGCAATTTCTGAGATATAAATCGTAAGTGTTAGAACAGAACAATGCCAGCCAGCCAGCCATGCTTTTTCACAAGGTACTCCCGTTCTGCTCCCTCCACCCCTCATTGTCCTTCCACTCTCCACTTTTAGGGCAGAAGTACAAAATATTTTCAGGAGACCAAAAAAAAAAAAAAAAAAACCATCAACCAACCAACCGAGGATCTCCACCCTTGGAAGGTGGCTGCGATCAGCTTCTCCAAAACAGGATAGACCTACTTTGTCAACTCACGAAGACCACTGCTGGGTTTGAACACAACAAAAAATAAAATCGACACTTCAAGAAGCAATTTCTGAGATATAAATTGTAAGCGTTAGAACAGAACAATACCAGCCAGCCAGCCGTGCTTTTTCACAAGGTCCTCCCGTTCTGCTCCCTCCACCCCTCATTGTCCGTCCACTTTCCACCTTTAGGGCAGAAGGACAAAATATTTTCAGGAGACCAAAAAAAAAACAATCAACCAACCGACCGAGGATCTCAACCCTTGGAAGGTGGCTGGGATCAGCTTCTCCAAAAGAGGATAGACCTACTTCGTCAACTCACGAAGACCACCGCTGGGTTTGAACACAACCTTTCTCAACTGGGGTGGGCTCCAGTGGCATTGGACTACAAGACCCTTTGTCCTGCAGGTAGCCCGGTTTGTCCAGTCTAACAGCCAGGCATGATGGGCACTGCAGTCCGAAGCATCCGGAACCTGCTTGGATTAGAAGCATCTGCTTTACAGTCGCATGAGCCTCTTGGTCGCCCTCATGGCCACAGAGTCAGCTTCCGTGAAAGCTGGTAGGAGAGGCTGACACAGAAGCCGGGAGGACGCGGTTCACCCAGAAGAGAATTAAATCCAGAGGTATAAAAGGACAAGCCTGCTTAACCACAGTAAGAGGCGGTGCCTGGTTTCTCAACTTCTGGCCCTCTGGATTTCCTTTTAAGAACCCGAGGTCGGGAGTTCGATTCCCCACTGTGCTTCGTAGAGGAAGACTCAGCCTCTGTAGCCTTGGGCAAGCCGCATCGCCCCACAGAAGAAGGCAACGGGAAACCACGTCTGAGTACGTTCCACTTAGAAAACGCTAGAAAGAAGAACTGATTTAACAGCATTCCATTATTCTATTACATACTTTTTAAATTCAACCCCTATTAAATCCTTTACCCATCCTTTACCCAGTCCTGCTGGGACTTTTGAAGTCAACCTGCAAAACATCTGCGGGACCGAACGATCAACAAGGCACCACCATCTTTTTGGGAAAGCTTGCAGGGGAAAATGAACAGAACCAGCAGAAACAACACGGCTAACTTTTTGCAAAAGGTCTCTTTCTTCCACTAAAGGAATATTTCAGGAGTGATACAAACTGCGAGCAAGGGTATTAAAATACACATACAATCTGCAGACCCAGGAGCTCAATTTGAGCCATCCAACTTTTACAACGTAGGTTACAGGAATTAGCGCCATCATCTTTCTTTGGCAATGTTTGAAAAGTCCCAGAGCAGCCGCTGCAGAGAAATACAGCAGTGTATATAATCCTGTGGCACAGTGGGCGAGGATGAAGAGGTGATAGAAGCTTATTAAACATCCTTCTTACACAGGGGGCTTAAAAAAAGATCAGCGTTTCTGTCCTTGCAGGGGGAATCCTAAGTGCACCAAAGAAAAAATGGATGCTCAATGTAGGATCAAAAAAAAAATACCCCACCATACATATAGCGTATTAATATTTAAATGTATTGATATTGAAAAGGTTTTGAAGTGGCTTGTGGAAGCAAGGAAAGCTATCGGAGCTTATTTGAATGGCACTCTCTTCAGTCAGAGAATCATCACACTGACCTTGCTACTGATGTCAACTTAAATAACTATAATTGGGTTTGTTTGTTTAATGGTCCAGGCTTCCCCTCCGAAAAATCTGGGAACTCTTCTCCTCACTTAACTACCATTCCCAGGATTCAGAGCATCTGACAACGGAGGACAGAACACACCACGGCACATAAACTCTTTTACGTTTCTAGTACAGATGGGACTTCAGCCATTATGTAATAAACCTTGACACCAGCAGCGGCATTTCCCAGCCGGGGGAGGCGCTGAATCGCTTCCGGCTTTTGGTCCGAACTTTGCAGGAACACTCCAAGATGCTGAGCCCTGTGCCCAAATGCGCCGCTGCACCGTGCCATCCCTTTTGAGGTTTGAACTAAAACCAGGTACGGACACACCACCCAGCTCATTCGACCACGGGCTCTCAGACTTATAGCTTCACCCTAATAAAGATTACCTGGTGACCACTCAGGCTCTCCCGCGTCCTAGAGTCCCCCATCTTTGCACCCACCAGCTCCAGTATGGCTGGCTTAAACCAAGCACATCATGGCAGGTAACAGGGACTGCGTGATGCCACCTAAGTCCGCAGCTGCTGGGCTAGCCTGTCCCTTTCACAGAGGCATTTACTTCCTGCATTCTCTGTTGCTTCCTCTCCAGGTAACGCGCCCGAGCATCCTGTATGGACCGGTCATCGTTCCTTTTCTCCATTTTTCGTGCCGGCTCATCCGCTGCATTTTCTGAAAGTAAAGACTCTGAAAGTAAAGGATGGACGGCTCCTATCACACTCGATGGAGAGATGCAGAAGAAGGAGCCATGGCGGACCAAGGAGGATTAGATGAAACCAAGCCCAGAACGGTATGTCATGCAGAGACACAACCTTCCCTACAAAATAAATGCTTTAGGCCCACAGGAATCTTTCGCTGATGCTGAAGGCGAGGAGCCTGTAACCCTCCAGATGCTGGTGAACTACAACTGCCATCATCTCCAACTCACTGGCCTTGCTGGCAAAGTCTGAAGGGAGCTCCTAGTCTAGCAACATCTAAAAGAGGCAGGAGAAAGGTGTCCTGCCCTCAGCGTCTAAACCCCCCCTCCAACCTATGGAAATGTCATTCTTTCAGCTCACCGTTCCGCCTTTCAAAGTCCTCCTTGTTCCTCCACCTGGACAGTTCCTCCTCTGTCACTTCCTCCCGAGCCATGCTGCTCAGCTCGTAAGCGTCAATCTCGTGAAGCCGAGGCAGCAGGTCCTGGACCCACTCGTAGCGAATGGGGCAGACGGTCCTCAAGTAAATCCTGGAGGTCACTAAGACGTCGTGGAAAAGGATCCATTCCAGCTGGGCTTCCTGATCACAGAGCTAAAAAAAACCGAAACCCAAACCGGCAAAAGGATTTCCAGATTATCAAGACACTGAACCAAAGATGACCTTCAGCCCTTCAAGATGCAGCGGTTCCTAACCTTGGGACCCCAGATGTTCTTGGACTAAAACTCCTAGAAGCCTTCCCCACGAACTGGGCTGGCCAGGGCTTCTGTGTTGTAAAACATCCGGGGACCCAAGGCTGGGGACCATTGCTGTGGACCGCATCTCCCAGCATCCTTTATCTTTGGCCATTTAAAAAAAATCTAAACCCGGACCCCTAACTCTGATTCCTACCCAGTGTTGCTCAATGGTAAGGGGTTGTACATCTTCAGACAGGGCAAGGAAAGGATTCTGGCCACAAAGCTGGGAGAGGCACAGCTGCCAGCCAGAGCTGGGAATACAGGGGGAACGGACCAAAATTCTGCTCTGTACAAGCTTTCTAAGTTCCTACTCAAAAACATATCATGAGCAAAAGGTTTCCCATGCCCGTGTCAGGAGATGAGGTTGTACTGCTACATTTTGTTACAGCTCTCATGATCCGTCTAAACTCCAGCCCTCTCTGAAGCTCAGATTTTGTCCCACGCCGTCGATAAATAAAGGTATGCCAAGAATCTGCTCAGCTGGCTTTCCCCACCTCACCTCTCTTTACTTAAAAGGTCCATGCCTTCGAACCCGAAGAATAATTAACCCAGCCTACCGCTGACGAAGGGTGGATGTAGACCACGCTGCCGTGGCCATCCATGGTGCAGAAGGACTTCCCGACGGATCTAAAAGAACCAAGGAGGGAAAGCAAGGTTTGTGGTGAGCAGCTGGCCTGTTCTGAGTCCGTGCACCCCATGCGCGAAAAGCACACCGTGCGTCAGCCGCGTGCTTTGGGCTCAACCGCCTCCTTCACACCAGTCCCGTTTTGGAACCCTCGTCACCTTCTCGCGACGTGGGTGAAGTAACCCGCGCAGAGGCATCTCCTGAGAATTTCATTTCTGGAACCTTCGAAGCGCTCTCTCGGAAAGTCCGGCAGCTAAAAACGAGGAAGAAAACATCCCAGCAAAGGGGGGGGGAGAAATATCATTGATTTAAAGATGGAAGCTGTGGAAAGAGAGAGAGAGAGAAAGCCAGCAGGTGGAGATAACATGGATCTCCCAGCTCGATAAAATCAAGGTCCCTTTCTGTGTGCTCCGGATACCTTGGACAACAACTCCCATCAACCCCAATCAGCAGAGTGCAGGGATTCAAGGGATGGGCAGAAATGCAGGAAAGGTTCTAGTCCCCACTCAGCCATAAAATTGACCAGAGGGTCTTGGGCCAGGCAATCTTTCTCAGCTTGATCTACCTTGCAAGGTTCTTAGGAGGATAAATGGACTGCAGTTCCCATCCTCCTCAACCTGTGCCTAAGCTGGCTAGGCTTATGGCAGTTGTCATCCAAAAGACCCAGGAGAGGCCTCCAAAACTGATCCGGAAAGTTGGCTTGTGCTGCATCAGAGCCTCGGTCACTCGATCCCTGTAATGTCCACGCGGGCTGGCAGCAACGCCTCTCTGTCCTTCCCTAGGCCTATCTGGAGATCCTGGTGGCCTCCCCTCCAAGACCTAAACAGGCCCAATCCTGCTTAGCTTCCAGAATTAAGGAACACCCATGTGCTCGGGGTGGAACGGTCATCAACTAGCCTTCCTCTCATGTAACTGGATACAGCAGGAGACCAATACGGCCCTCACACAAAGCAAACATTGACTCACCTGTTTAACCTTGCTGGTGATTTCCCGAAGCTGTTCCTCCACACTAAACGCCAGCTTCACCGCTCGCCAGTGGACCCAGTTTTCCTGACACCAACCTGCTGGCGATTTGCTGGACAAGAGGGGTAGAGAAGCAAGCCATGGTATTATTTTTTAACTAGAAGGAAAAAATGCTCTACGAGGACGCTTTCGCGATCGCTAATGCGATCGCACAGCGATGGCCCCAATGGGCGAAAATCGCAGAGTGAAGGTTTGCGACCCGCCGATCAGCTGTTCCGCGGCTTCAAAATGGCCGCCGGAACAGCCGAAAG